CTGTGGTATCGCGCAGAAGGCACAATGGAGCAGGTCGCCAAACTCAAGTTCTTCAACGGGCGAGAAATGCCCATGGTGGGGCTTGGAATTTGGGACGTAAGATTAGCCATTGGAACTTATTTTAAGTGTATGCGATCGATTAACTGATGTGTATATAAGGGATTATAAATGGGTATGAATGTGTACAGATGTAAATATCGGTAGATAGATAGGTATAGCGGTGTACAGAACATAAAGGGCGTTAGATATGTGAGGAAGAACACACACACAGATAGAGAGAGGGGGGAGGGAGAGGGAGACAGGGAGGTATGTACAAACAGAAAACAAGTTACACAGGATGGGCAGGATTTAGATGTGGGAATATCTTCAGACACCATCCTCTTTATCTGACACGATAACAACACTCAACAACCCATAATCCCTTCTTAACATTCGCCAATATCAGAGTTTTCCTACATATCTGATCACGTTGAGAGAACCCAAATTTTACGTCAGTGTATTAGTGCAGAGGAGCAAACCTTTCCCCCATTTCTCTGTGGAGACGGTCCAGTTCCGTCCATGACTCCTGCCCTTTCCCTGTCCCCCTTGCCCATGAACCCAGCGAGAACCTAAGGGATAGGGTTTTCATCGGCCATTCGGTTCGTGTGTCCCTGGTGTCTTGAAATTGCAATATTCCATTTTTCGACACAGAGGAATTCAAATGACTTCCCCCCCAAGTAATAGATCTTCTTCGTCATTAACGGAGGAGAAGGTTTCTGAATCCTGGGCAAAATCATGCTTGGATCGAGTTTATGGTGTGGGAACTCTCGAACTAAGCCCCCGCCTCTTTTCCTTTATTCATTGCAGATATTAAACATTCTTTTTTTCTTTGTTTCTATTTTTTTTTTTTTTTTTTTTTTTTTTTGATTGACCGGGTCAAAAAGGGGGCAGAGCTAATGACATCATCCCATTTAGCCAATGGGAGATGTCAGATGTAGTTAGATACATTATTATTTTGATGATTTAGTCAATATTGTTATAATTTCTAGAAGTTTAACCAAAATTCCTCTCTTTATGTTATGATAATGAAGACTTACCATTACCATTAACACCTGTTGGAATGCTCTTGGGAAAAAGTTTTTAAAAATTTATATTGGGTTCAACAGGGCTTAAAAGAAGCAAAGCTGCCTGGTTATATGTACCTAATGAATGCAGTTCAAACTCAGGAACTCAAAACTCAGCAGAAGTCAGCATGCGGTTATGTGGCTGTGTGGTGGCGCTATACATCAAAAGCAAAATCACATCAGTTTTACATCTCAAACTGTTCTTTTCATTACTGCATATATTTCTTTCTCTCTTTCTTTTTCTTTTATAATTTACTGACAATTCATGTTATTTCTTACCTTATTATATCCATACATTATAAGCAGATTTGTAATCCAAATGACTGTAGTGAAACATTTCAACAAAAATGTTTACCTCATCATGGCATCGAAAATAAAGAGTTACTCAACAGGATATGCTAGTAATATCAGCTTTGTGATTGCAGCATCAAAAATAGCATACATTATAATTGTTATGATTACTAGAGGTAAAAACAAAAATCCCATCTTTTTATGTATGATAACGAAGTGTTCCTTACCATGAGCGGCCGTCAGAATACTCTTGGGAAAAGGTCAATTTCACCTTTGGGTTCAACAGCCTAAGTGGAAGTAGAGTTACCTGGTTATGCCTACCTTGAACTGACTTCCCATCATGATGACTCCCATGGTTATATCTAATCATATCAGTCCTCTTATCATCGTAGGACTATTGTAATGAAGGAAGGGTTCATTATAGAGTCAGACTTTGATTTCTGAGGAATGTGTCATATATTTAAGTCTTACCATAAAATGTGGCGCCGGGGCGGGCCGAGCGGCAAGCACTCTCCGAAGGCACAAAGCGTTTGGAATATTTTACACCAAGTTCGGTAGTGTTACTGATCATGAGTTTTTTCCTTTTTTTCCATTGTGTCTGGCAGCACTTATTTTATTATTTAACAATCTGTACATATGCACTGAATGCTTGTTCCCTATTGATTTAAAAACTCGCAGTCCACTTGTGAAAAGAAAAATCTAAGGGAACTTGGGCATAATTTCTTCCGATATCACTCAGCATGAAAATAAGCACAAGACTAAAATCCATTCTAATATATATGCACAAATGACGAGGGTATATCATAGCCACACATATTCAACTACAGTACATGTTGCTTATTACAAAACTAATTTCCTCTACTTTGATCCCTCTGTTAGTCACTGTGATACCGGAGTTAATCAGTCTATATGAAAATTCTAATTTGTCTATGGCAGGGATCACACATACACGCACACACACACACATACAAACACACACATACACACACACACACACACACACACACACACACACACACACACACACACACACACACACACACACACACACACACACACACACACACACACACACGCATACACACACACATACACGCATACACACA